CCGGGAGACTGAGGCAGAGCGCATACGTGGCTTGTCCGAGAGCACGAAGGGTTCTACTCGCACTTCCGGATCACGCCCCGCCCGGGCGCTGGGATGGGATTTTGGCATTTGGTGGCATTCGGACCTTCTCAGCAGGTGTTCGGACCAGGCTATTAGCAAGGACGAGTTATCGTGATTCTCGTGCAGCTTTCTCTCAGTATTTACAAACCAAGCAACCCTTCCCCCAACCAATATTAAAAAGAAATCAGTGAGTGAAATTTCCTTGCTGAAAAAGTTGCAGAGATCTGTTAGATTCATCTCTTAGTATCAGAATTTTGAAGATTTTCTTGGTGGAGAGGATCTGGAGACATCTTGGGGGAGGGAGATTCCAAAATGCCTGAGAATCTAAATTGTATTGACATATTTAATGGCAGTAAATAAAAGAAAAATGCATTTATTTTAAAAAAACATCATAAGAACGGCTCTACTGGGTCAGACCAATGGTCCAGCTAGCCCAGTGTCCTGTCTGCTGACAGTGGGCAATACCAGATACCCCAGAGAGAGGGAACACAACAGGTAATTCTCACATGATCCCTCCTCTGTCACCCATTTCCAGATGCTGTATAAATGTTTCTCTTCTATCTCCTTATACACCAGTGTGTTATAGTATGTCCAACTATATCATTTTGTCTCCTGAATATCTTGGATAATGATTTAAAACTAGACAACTTTGAACTGTTACCAAAATATTAATTTGACTGCATATGGAAATTAGGTTAAAATGGTGAAAATCAATTTTTATGGTTACACCAAAATCTAATATCTATTATGTGAGTATCATAAAAAAGGATGTGGACGCATTGGAGGAGAGGGTCCAGCGGAGGGCAACCAAAATGATTAGAGGGCTGGAGGATATGACCTATGAGGAGAGACTGAGGGAGTTGGGTCTGTTTAGTCTGCAGAAGTGAAGGGTGAGGGGGGATTGGAGAGCAGCCTTCAACGTCCTGAAGGGAGGTTCCAAAGAGGATGGAAAAAGGCTGTTCTCAGTAGTGACAGATGGCAGAACAAGGAGCAGTGGTCTCAAGTTGTGGTGGGAGAGGTCCAGGTTGGATATTAGCAAAAACTATTTCACTAGGAGGGGGGTGAAGCACTGGGCTGGGTTCCCTAGGGAAGTAGTGAAGTCTCCATCTGTAGAGGTGTTTAAGTCTCGGCTTGACAAAGCCCTGGCCGGGTTGATTTAGTTGGGATTGGTCCTGCCTAGGGAAGGGGGCTGGACTTGATGACCTTCTGAGGTCTCTTCCAGCTCTATGATACTATGATCCTTTCTATAGTGGGTGGCCCAGAACTGGACACAATCCTCCAGATGTGGCCTCACCAGAGCCGAATAAGGGGGAATAATCATTTCTCTGGATCTGCTGACAGTGCTTCTCCTAATGCACCCTAATATGTCATTAGGCTTCTTGGATACAAGGGCACACTGTTGACTCATATTCAGCTTCTCATCCACTGGAATCCCCAGGTCCTTTTCTGCAGAACTGCTACTTAGCCATTCAGTCCCCAGCCTGCAAAAATGCTTGGGATTCTTCCGTCCCAAGTGCAGGACTCTACACTTGTCCTTGTTGAACCTCATCAGATTTCTTTTGGCCCAATCCTCTAATCTGTCCATCAGCACCTCATCAGATTTCTTTTGGCCCAATCCTCTAATCTGTCCATCAGCCGCTTTGCCGGAAAAACTGGCCAGTCTAGACACAGCCAAGGAGGAATGAGCAACAAGGGAGGACCCCTGATTCAGATGGAGAAGATTGGGCGATCAACTGATGGTCTTCTCCATCCGAATCAGGGGTCCTCCCTTGTTGCTCATTCCTCCTTGGCTGTGTCTAGACTGGCCAGTTTTTCCGGAAAATCAGCCGCTTTTCCAGAAAAACTTGCCAGTTGTCTACACTGGCCGCTTGAATGTCCGCAAAAGCACTGACTTCCTACTGTAATAAATCAGTGCTTTTTGCAGAAATACTATGCTCCTCCCGTTCGGGCAAAAGTCACTTTCAGCAAAAGAAAAAAGAAGAAGAAGAAGAAAAAAAAGCCACTGAAGCAAATGAGCAAAAGAAGTGGTGGATTCTCCATCTCCTGATTTTTTTCAAATAAAAACTTGACAGCTTTCTTGAAAATGTGCTTTAGGGAAATAAAGTTTTGCCATTTGGTGATGGTTTTAAATATAATGGCTTGTGATACAGGCTGGACAAGAGAATGTGATCTAATGATCCCTCCTGATGCTGTGACTCTGTGTTCTTAGGATATCATCCTGTAAACATTTAACAAGTGTGTTTAGTTTTAAATATCTGAATGGTCCCTTTGACTTCACTTAATCTCTGTTCCGGAGAGGGATTATAAAGTCTTTGTTGGTTTAACCTGATGAGAGGACCTAGGCCTTTGCTAACAAATAAATGGAGGAAGACACAGTGGTCCCCAACCTTTTTGGGTGGTGTGTGCCGCGCGGGGCTGCCGGGCCGCCTGGGGGCGGGGCCGTGCATTCACCACGCTCCCGGGACGGGGGCCGCGCATGTGCTGGGTGCTTGGGGGCGGGACCTCACATGCACTGCACTCCTGGGGGCACCACTAAGCAGGCACACATAAATGCCCTGGTTGGTGCCATGGTGCTCACGGGCACACGTTGGAGACCACTGGACTAGGGGTTTTAAACACAGAGCCTAAATTTAGACACCTACATCCGTATTCAGGCAGGTGAAAGTGGCTTCTTTATAAGAAACACTGGGTGCTCCGAATTAAATCCCATTGTTTCAGGCGTATTAATGTTGAAACTCAAGCCAGATATTGAGAGAAATGAATATGGATTTGGGACCTAACTTGTGTGTGCTGTTTATGGAATATTGAGACGCAAGTTTTTGCCCACAATGGCAGAGTCTGGTATGTGATTCACCAGGGACAGTCTGAGGAGACTTGGGGTGCGGAAAGGATTCAAGCTTCTTTTGAAATGTCTTCAGTTGCCTGTCTTATCCTAACAGTCTGCACAACACCCATGTCTTTCTCCAGCTCAGCCTGTGGCCTGCAGAACCAGGGAAAGGAAATGGCTGTGGCGGAGCCGGTGACCTTCGAGGAAGTGGCCGTGTATTTCTCTGAGGAGGAATGGGCTCTGCTGGACCTGGGTCAGAAAGCCCTGTACTGGAACGTGATGCAGGAGAATTATGAGTCTGTGAGCTGGCTGGGTAAGGATTCCTGTGCCCTTGGGTATCAGAGGCTGGATGGGCTCGGAAGCAGCTGGGTTGGGTTTGGTTCAGGGGCCCCTATTGACCCTTGTCCCTTAATGTTAGGAGTCTCAGCCCTAATAAACCTGGCTCCTGTGTGAGAGACTGTCCCCTCCACGCCCTCTCCCTGGGGAAGCAGGTTCAGGGACATAACAATGGTGCTGCTCTTCCCACACCCAAGGTCTTCATGTGGTTCCCCACAATCTTGCCCACGTTGTGCCTTGGCCAGAGGTGTCAGTGGAAGGCCCCAGGCAGGAACGACAGGTACCATGGGTCTGGGTCTGGCTAGTGCCTGTGGGGTACCACTTGTGCCAGTGTGCCGAGCCCCTGGAAGGAGGGTGCAGTTCCTGGAGTCCTTTCCTGGCTGTGGCTGATCTATGTCATGCTGGTTCTTGTCCATGAGGGGGGCTGGGTTCTGGGGTTGAGGGAGGGTTGATGAGAGGCAGTTCATACTCTGCAAGTATTCTGTGAGGGGCAGCTCTGTAGGACGGTGTGGCCAACTCATTAAAGGCAAAGAGCCACAATAGTTGGGTATATAGCACCAAAGGGCCGAAGGAAAAAAGTTGTCGAGCAAAAAAAAAGGAAAGCCCCAGCCACATGTGGTCGAGCAAAAAAAGGAAAAAAAGAGGATGCTGCCCCTTTTAAAAAAACTTCAGTTGGCTTTTTGGCCACATCAGGCTCCTGTTGGCCGCACCATCTTGTTGGTTCCATTTTGCTCCACCGCACGGATGGGGAGCACAGGGAACAGGTGGCCAGGGGGCCGTTTTTAGGAGCGGCGTGAGCCACAGGCAAGGCTTTGCGAACCACAGTTTAAGAGGGGGAAGAGCCACATGCAGCTCATGAGCTGCAGGTTGGCCAGCCCTGCCGTAGGAGATGAACAGGAGGAAAGCTCTTCTTGCAATGCAGACTTAGGGCTGGGGTCCCTTTAAAAACTCTGGCTTTGTTCTCTTGGGGGTTCACTTGCCTCTTTGTGCAATTTTGATAATCACTTCATCCGTCTTGTCTTTTTAGAGTGAAATTTCTTTGGGCGGGACTTTTTCTTCCTCTGTGAATGTCTGGCTTTGAACCCAGGAGCCCTGTGTTTAATTTCCTGCCCTGCTACAGACTTCCTGTGTGATCTTGGTCAAGTCACTTATCATAGAATCATAGAGCTGGAAAAGACCTCAGAAGGTCGTCAAGTCCAGCCCCCTGCTCTAGACAGGACCAGTCCCAACTAAATCAACCCAGCCAGGGCTTTGTCAAGCCAAGACTTGAACACCTCTAGGGATGGAGACTCCACTACTTCTCTAGGTAACCCATTCCAGTGCTTCACCGCTCCTAGTGAAATAGTTTTTGCTAATATCCAACCTGGACCTCTCCCACCACAACTTGAGACCATTGCTCCTTGTTTTGCCATCCATCACTGCTGTGAACAGCCTTTCTCCCTCCTCTTTGGAAGCTCCCTTCAAGAAGTTGAAGGCTGCTATCAAATTCCCCCTCACGCTTTGCTTCTTCAGACTAAACAGACCCAACTCCCTTATCCGCTCCTCGTAGGTCATATGCTCCAGCCCACTAATCATTTTGGTTGCCCTCCGCTGGACCCTCTCCAATGCATCCACATCGTTTTTGTAGTGGGGGCCCCAGAACTGGACATAATATTCCAGATGTGGCCTCACCAGAGCCAAATAAAGGGGAATGATGACATCTCTGGATCTGCCCGTCCCAAGTGCAGGACTCTGCACTTGTCCTTGTTGAACCTCATCAGATTTCTTGTGGCCCAATCCTCCAATTTGTCTAAGTCACTCTGGACCCTATCTCTGCCCTCAAGCGTATCTACCTCTCCCCCTAGCTTAGTGTTATCTGCAAACTTGCTGAGGGTGCAATCCATCCCCTCATCCAGGTCATTGATAAAGATATTGAACAAAACCGGTCCTACAACTGAACTTTGGGGCACTCCGCTAGAAACCGACCGCCATCCTGACATCGAGCCATTGATCACTACCCGCTGGGCCCGACCTTCTAGCCAGCTTTCTATCCATCTTAACCGTCCATTTATCCAATCCATATTCCCTTAACTTGCTGGCAAGAATATTGTGGGAGACTGTATCAAAAGCCTTGCTAAAGTCGAGGTATATCACATCCACTGACTTTCCCATGTCCACAGAGTCAGTTACCTCATCATAGAAGCTCATCAGATTGGTCAGGCACGACTTTCCCTTTGTGAATCCATGCTGACTATTCCTAATCACTTTCCTCTCTTCCAAGTGCCTCAAAATGGAATCCTTAAGGATCCCTTCCATGTTTTTTCCAGAAACCGAGGGAAGACTGAATGGCCTATAGTTCCCTGGATCATCCTTCTTCCCTTTTTTGAAGATGGGCACTACATTTGCCTTTTTCCAGTTATCTGGGATTTCTCCCGATCTCCATGACTTTTCAAAGATAATGGCCAAAGGCTCCTCAATGACATTTGCCAACTCCCTCAGTACCCTCGGATGCATTAAGTTCGAACCCATGGATTTGTGTACGTTTAGCTTTTCTAAATAGTTCCTAACCTGTTCTTTACCCATCAAGGGCTGTCAATCCATTCTTGCGTCACTTAGCGCATTAGTCCGGGAGCAGACCTTGTCCGTGAATACAGAGGCAAAGAAAGCATTGAGTACTTCAGCTTTCCCCACATCATCTGTTACTAGGTTACCTCCTTCATCCAGTAGGGGCCCCACATCCTCTCTGATCACCTTCTTGTTAACATGCCTGTAGAAACTTTTCTTGTTATCCTTCACATCCTTTGCCAGTCACAGTTCCACTTGTGCTTTCACCTTCCTCTCTCTGTCCAGTCCTATGTCTTTTCAACAGCTATTGCAGTATGTCCCTGTTTCGCAGGTCCAGGGAAGGATAAATACATTCAATAGGAGTGATGCTCTGCTCCATATAAGCACCCGATTGCACTGTGAGGTTGTAATTGACATCAGAGATCCTGGGTGATGCTGTGACTGATAATCTTTGTTTCCTGTTGCAGCTTCAGTGCTGTATTAATTGCTGCTAGCTCCACAGAGAGTAGTTACAGTTGCTCTGGATGACTTTTTCCAGAGCTCTGATGGTAGCTGCATTGGCAGAACGTTCAATTAGCCCATGCAGCACAGCTCACCATTGTTGCTAAAGAAAGACACAGACTCCGTTCATGCCCAGGTTTATTGGCAAAGTGGCAGGGTACTAGTGTCCCAGTTTCCTGGGCATAGGAACAGTGAAATATGTCCCACCCCGACAATGGTACCAGCTCAGAAGGGAGCACAGGTCACTGCAAGTTGCTGCTGAGACACAAACCCCATGTACTGTCTTTTAAACACTGCCATCTGTCCTGCTCTGTCCCTGAGCTTTGTCTTCCTGCCCTGCTCTGTGCAGGTGGGGTACATGAGCAGGGGAAGGGAGAGAGTATGTGTGTGCATCAGACAGATTATGTGAGCTGGCTGCTCAGACATCTCACACACAAAGCACTGCCTCTGGAAGCAAGGCAGACTGTGATAGTACAGACTGAAGCAGCTTGGAGTTCTTCTGAGCCAGGCTGTCGTCCCCCCTCTGTTGTGCTTTGTGGAGTCAGGGTACAGGGGCAGATGTCACTCTGATATGAGTACTGCCCCTGCCCTCGCTCTGCATAGTTAGCCAGAGCGGTTGCAGGATGGTGTAAGGTGGGAGAGGGGCACTTGAGCACATGCTGCCAGCTGTGTGTACTCTGCTGATCAGCTGGGGGCCCATGTGAATCTCTGCTGCATAACCGCATGTATGCTCCAGTGTTGTCTTCAAGTTGTCATTGTCATGTCAAAGTTGAGTCTCAAGTCACTACAGTTCAAGTCTCAAGTCTTAATTTAAAAAATGTCCAGTCACTTTTGTATAAGCCATCAATATCGGCATTTGTGGACAGTTTTTTCACCAAGCCGATTTAACAAAATTAGCAAGTCTCAAGTCGAGTCTCAAGTCACAAACAATGAACCCAAGTCGAGTCTCAAGTCAAGTCACCTAGGCGACTTAAGTCGGACTTGAGTTCAAGTCGTGGGACTCGAGTCAACAACTCTGGTGTGCGCCGCTTACAAGGAGCACAGGCAGAGCGAAGCTCATTGTTCTAAGCCAGCCTTTTTAAGCACAAGATCACTTTTTGAATTTAAGTGCAATCCAGGATCTACCTCAAACCCAAACACCCTTGCCTCGCCTCCTTCGTGCCCCTTCTTCAAGGCCCTTCCCCTGCTCACTCCATCCTTCCTCCTTTTCACCAGGCAGTTCTAAAGCAAACCCCCCAGCACTGTGAGCTAAAAAGCGCAAAGACCATATGAAGTTTAGTGTCACATGAGCTGGTCACACACCCTTGCCTGCTCTGATGAGCCATGGCAGGCATTACCCACCATCTGGCTGGAAAGTCCATGGGAAAGTCCATTTGGTTGGGATGAGATTTCCATGACTTGTAGTTTTGTTGATGGACCATCAATCTGAACGTTCCACTCAGTGTGCTGGCTGGATTGGATGGATACTACCTTGTGGGTGTTTCCACAGCAGCAACCATCTTTGAAATACAGGTGCATGGTCCATATTTGTAACTTGAGGCACAAAAATGATGTCCACGTACAGACAGGATAATCATAGTCACCACATCAAAGCATTCTCATTGACACCGCACACAACCCACTTTGCACAAGGTTTGTTGCATCTGTGTAACAGTGGTAGCACAATGATCCACATGATCATATTTTAATCCTATAATGTCATAGAGGGATCTTCCCAGCACTAGAAGGTCCAAGAAGGGGTCTGGCTGAAGGTGTGCAGAATGTGCCCACAAGATGCAAAAATGCAAATGACAGATTCTGTGCAGCCGTGGGAACAACAAATAGGAGGCCAGACTGGCTACAAGAGGAAGATTGGGAAACCACACAAAGAGGCTGCTGCTGCTAGGGGAGTAGAACTGAGGTAGCAGAGGTGGAGCTCAGCTGCAGCAACAACCGCACACCTTGAAAAAGCAGCACATCCCAATGCCACCATGGCCAGCAGCGATTGTGGGCAACTGGCTGGGCCCACGGAGTCACAGGCAGTCAGGGCCAGGGGTCTGGAGCATAGGCATCATTTGAAACAGCCCCCCCAAGATTCATTTAGCTGCTCAGAGAACTTCCCCTGCCTCCTGGTTCAAGTAGAACATCTGAGCCAGTGAGCAGAAGGAGCTGGGCCCCTCAGGCAGGAGCATTGTGCACAGAGCCCTTGGGGAGCTAGAATTCTGCTGGGTCCTTTCTCTCCAAGTCCTAGTGACCCAGCATGTGGCAGCTGCAATCTGAGCCCTGCCTGTGGGCCCTGTTGTCAGATTTGCCAGTCCTCAGTAGAGCTGAGGGAATGAGCTGGGCCATTGCCAAGGCAGAGGGGATGCACCTTTACTGCAGGTGAGTGCGTCCTGGGATCTTGAAACCTCTCTGGGTGGGTGACTCAGATCCTGGGTTTGGAAGCAATAATGGCATAGACCTTAATGAACAAGATCAGCACTTGTTTAATTGCACCCCGAGCGGGATTTCCAGTCTCCAAAGCTCATGTGATCTCCTGGCTGGTGCAAGGGAAGGAGCTGTGCAGGAATTTCCAGGATTCTGAGGAAGGGAGATGATCAGAGACTACCACACGTGTGAGCAATCTACTAAACTCCCTCAGAAACCAATTTCTGTCCCTTCAAAGCACTTGAGCATTTTCATCAAGTTTAACTGACCCTTCAGCCTGTCTTCAACTCCAGTCAAAGGGTGGGATGGAAGGCTGTGTTATCTCCTTGGGAAAGGGTTATGAGAAAGGAGGATGAAGTCAGCTCATGAATATTTAACTGTTTCAGCCATTATTTCGGTGTGTTCCCCCTTTCCTATTCCCCTTTCAGAGTTTTCCTTTCAGCTCAGCACAGAGAATGACTCCTGTCTGAATTCTTTATCCCAGCAGGTGATGGGATGATGAGTGCGAACAATGAGAAGAGTCTTCATCAGGAAGGACTTCATCAGCAAGTGGTTTTGCATGGAATGTTATTGGAAAGATCTGAAGAGCATGTTTCCCCGAGAGCAGAGCAGGGAGAGACTGGTGTGAGTCAGCATACCCCAGAAAGGCAGCAGGGAAACCATGCAGTGGAGAGACAGGGTAAATCAAGTCAGAGGAGCAGAGGGGTGAAAAGAAACACAGAAACTGCTCAGCAGAAAATCCCCCATCAGCTGGAATCCTCCACTTGCAGTGACTGTGCAACTCTTATCGAACATCAAGGAACCCACACACGAGATAAGCCTTTCAAATGCTCTAACTGTGGGAAAAGCTTCAGTAGGAGCTCACATCTTATTAGTCATGAGAGAATCCACACAGGAGAGAAACCCTTCCACTGCTCTGACTGTGGGAAGAGCTTCAGGGAGAGGTGTCACCTGGTTAAACATAGGACAGTCCACACAGGGGAGAAACCCTTCAGTTGCTCTGAGTGCGGGAAAACCTTCAGTCAGATGTCAGACCTTGTTAGACATAGGAGAATCCACACAGGGGAGAAACCCTTCAACTGCTCAGATTGCGGGAAAAGCTTCAGTGAGAGCTCTGATGTTATCAAACATAAGAGAATCCACACAGGAGAGAAACCCTTCAGCTGCTCTGTCTGTGGGAAAAGCTTCAGTGACAGCTCGCACCTTGTTACACATAGGAGAATCCACACAGGGGAGAAACCTTTTTATTGTGCTGACTGTGGGAGACGCTTCAGTAGGAACTCACATCTTGTCAGACATCAGAAAAGCCACACAGAAGAGAACCGTTTCAACTGCTCTGACTGTGGGAAAAGTTTTAGAAGGAGCTCACTCCTTTTTGGACATAGGAAAATCCACACAGGAGGGAAACCCTTTTACTGTTCTGACTGTGGGAAAAGCTTCAGTACAAGCTCAGACCTTGTTAGACACAGGAGAATCCACACAGGAGAGAAACCCTTCAACTGTTCTGACTGTGGGAAAAGCTTCAGAGAGAGGTCAGGCCTTGTTAAACATAGGAGAATCCACACAGGGGAGAAACCTTATAACTGCTCAAACTGTGGTAAAAGCTTCAGTCAGCGCTCAAATCTTGTTACACATAGGAAAATCCACACCGGGGAGAAACCCTTTGATTATTCTGACTGAGGGGAAAGTTTCAGTCAGTGCTCAGGTCTTAACAATCATCATACGGTCCACACAGAAGAATCATAGAATCATGGTATCAAATCATAGTACACTAGAATTAGAAGGGGCCTCGAGGTCATTGCGTCCAATCCCCTGCCCTCGTGGCAGGTCCAAGCACCATCTGTTATCCCTGATAGATGTCTATGTAACTTGCTTTTAGATACCTCCAATGATGGAGATTCCACAACCTCCCTCAGCAATTTATTCCAATGTTTAATCACCATGACAGTTGGGAAGTTTTTCCCAATTTCAAACTTAAACCTCCCAGGCTGCCATTTAAGCCCTTTGCTTCTTCTCCGATCATCAGAGGTCAGGGACAACAATTTTTTTCCCCTTCTCCTTCTAACATCCTTTTAGGTATTTGAAAATTGCTATCATGTCCCCTTTCAGTCTTCTCTTTTACAAACTAAATCATCCCAATTCTTTGTCTTCCCTCATGGGTAATGTCGTCTTTACCTTTAATCATTTTTGTTGTTCTTCTCTGGACCCTCTCTAATTTCTCCACATCTTTCTTGAAATCTGGTCCCCAGAACTGGACACATTACTCCAGTTGAGGCCTACTCAGTGCAGAGTTGAGCAGAAGAATTACTTCTCGTGTCTTGTTCACAACATGGTTGTTAAAGCAGCTGTATAAATTCTCAGACTGCAGGATAAGGTTCATTCAGAGCTCAGACCTTGTTAGACCTAGGAGAATCCACACAGGAGAGAAATCCTATAACCTTTGAGATGCATGACCATATGGCCATGCAATAGACTATTAAGTGCCATGCAAGCAATTAGGGCTGTGGTGAGGAGTGATGCCTGTACCCACTGGTCTGAACAGCGGCTTAGACTTGCAATGGGCTGACAGACAATTGTCTATCCCATGGCCCCAGCCCCAGAGCTGCCATGGCAGGGAGAGGTGCCTCTTTTTCCCCCACTCCTCACAGCAGCATCTGAGTGGGGGAAAGAAAGCTGGTGGGAGTCTTCTGTCCTCAGTGTATCCCTTTGGTGGCTTGTCCCTCAAACTCCACCATACGTTGGCCTCCTCCCAGAGATCAAACCCCTAGCTGTAGCCTTCACCCCTCCATAGTTCAAACTTCAGTCTCAGCCCTGAGCCCTTCATTCCTGGCCCTACCTCAGCACTAGTCCTCACACACCTGCTTCCCAACTCTTTGCCCCAGCCTTGCACCTCCTTCCCACAATTCAAGCCCCCTGTGCCCTCCTGCTTTTACATGAATTATGTTCTATGCATGAATATGGAGATGTCACACATCTCCCTCCATATTGGTGCCTCTAACAAAATTCATTCTGCAATTGAATGGGAAAGATTATATGGAACAGTGTGTATAACTGCTCTGACTGTGAGAAAAGCTTCAGTGAGAGGTCAGACCTTATTAGATATAGGAGTATCTGCACAGGAGAGAAACCCTTCAGCTGCTCTGACTCTGGGAAAAGCTTCAGTGAATGCTCATACCTTATTGCACATCAGAAGTTCACTGAAGACAGAATCGCTATAACTGCTCAGACTGGGTAAAGGTTCAATGGAACTGAAACCTCCTTGAACATCTGTTGGAAGAGAAAGGTAAAAGCTGTAGTTCAAACAGAGAGAGCTTTAGTCAGTGCCAGTGTGCCTTATAAGCTTCACAGGTGATTAATCAGCCTTGCCCAGTGAGCTCTTTGCATGGAGCCATGAGCCTCTGACTGGGTGGGGCTGATTAATCACCAGTGAAGAAGTGCTGCCATGCAGCTTACAGGGAACACTGGTCAGTGCTCACACATTTTGTCACATTGGAGAACCCAAAGATGAGACAGACCCTTTTGTAATATAACAGGGAGTCTGGGGGCACTGCTGAGAGGATCAAATCAGGGTGAATTGCTTAAGACAAAACTACTTATAGCCCAAGTTTGGGGGTCCTCTGCTATAAAGCGCCCCAAACCAGTGACAGAGAACACTTCTTGCTGGCCACTATGGCAAATAAAAGACACACAAGCAATCCCTTTAGGTACATCAGCTCCTGCTGTTTCACAACCAGTACCACACCTTGCACAGAGAAGAGGTTATGAAAACCAGTCTCACCAAATCTGAACAGGTTCTCTTGATACCAACGAGCCAGACACAAATGCAGGTCAATTTATACCTTAGATCTTACGCAAAAGAGCACACTGCCAGTCTTTTAGACGATACAATTGAAAAGCTTAATAATAACAGAGAGGACATTTTGAGGTAAAATTGTTAAAGGAAACTAATTAAATACACCAATTACAATGTGCCTGGTGCAAACTTGAAGCAGAGATGGAATAAACTACTATTTTACACAAGTCCTTTTGGGCTCAATTCATAGCAAAGATGCTCCTGAAGTGGTGGAATGAAGACAGGAATGAAAACAAAGAGGGAGAAACCTCTAAAGCCATCTTTATATTCCATGTGGAGGAATTCTGTTGTTCTCACTGGGTGAGGTTCTGGAACGGCCTTCCAAGGGAAGTAGTGGGGGCAAAAGATCTATTTGGCTTCAAGATTAAACTAGATGGCTACATCTACACTGGCACCCTTTTCCGGAAATGCTTAGAACAGTTTTCCGGAAAAGCGTCCGTGGCCAATGTAGAAGCGCTTTTCTGGAAAAAAGCCCTGATCGTCATTTTCGCGATCGGGGCTTTTTTGCGGAAAAGACTACTGTGCTGTCTACACTGGCCCTTTTCCGGAACAGTTTTTCTGGAAAAGGTATTTTTCCTGAATGGGAGCAGCATAGTTTTTCCGGAAAAACACTGACAATTTTACAGTAGATCGTCATTGCTTTTCCGGAAAAGCAAGCGGCCAGTGTAGACAGCTGGCAAGTTATTCCGGAAAAGCAGCTGCTTTTCCGGAATAAGTGGTCCAGTGTAGGCACAGCCGATGGGTTCATGAAGGGGATGGTTTGATGAGATAACATGATCTTGGTAACTAATTGACCATTATCAGTGGTAAATAGGTCAATGAAGGGATGATAGGAGTTACTATAGAGAACTTTCTGGGTGTCTGGCTGGTGAGTCTTGCCCACATGCTCAGGGTTTAGCTGATCGCCATATTTGGGGTTAGGAAGGAATTTTCCTCCAGGGTAGATTGGCAGAGGCCCTGGAGGTTTTTTGCCTTCCTCTGTAGCATGGGGTACAGATCACAGCTGAAGGATTCTCTGCATCTTGGGGTCTTCAAACTATTTGAAGGCTTCAATGTCTGAGATGTAGGTAAGAGGATTATTCTAGGAGAGGTGGGTGAGATTCTGTGGCCTGCACTGTGCAGGGGGTCAGACTAGATGATCATCTATGTGCAGGCCAGTGAGTGTGGGGGCGGCGGAGCCACTGCCTGTCCCCATTACCACCGCTTGCAACACATCCTGGGGGACACAGTGGCCAATCCCCTGCTGGCCCAGGTGGACACATCGGTGGACACCCCAGTGGTCTGGCCCAGGGAACCGGAGGAAGAGGAGGGCGACCGGTACGCTGAGGAGGAGGCGTCAGAGGATAGCAGCCAGACCCCACCACCCCGGCCCAGCAGCAGTCAGGATGTGTCCTGGTGTGTCCTGGGCATCCTCAGAAGCTGGTGAGGGATCGTTTGGTGAGTGCAGTGGCTACCATTCACAAGTGTGCTGGGGACATGGGGAGCCACAGGGTGGGGGAGAGGGAGCAGCACATGGCACAGCCTGGCCACATGCTGTGCAGAGGCATGCAGCACGAGCAACCTCATGCAGCTAGGGTTGCCAGGTGTCCATTTTTGAACCGGACAGTCCAGTATTTGAGCTTTCTGTTCGGGAAACAAATTGAGAAAATATAAATGAGAAAATACAAATGTCCGGTATTTTCTAACAAAGATGTAATGTAGATTGTGATGTAATGTCAAGTGTGTCTGTTATTCTTGTTGAAACCATCTGGCAACCCTACAAGCAGCCAGACCAAGTGGCACACAGAAGCGGCAGCTAGCCCCAGCACACGCCTGGGCCCTCAGGGATTCTGCACAACCAGACCTTGGGGGAGGGAGGCGTTTCTGGACAGGAGTAGGCCAGCCCCAAGGTTGCAGGCCTGACCCCACACAACCTAAAGGGTGCTGAACGCAGCACACATCCATGGCCACCTCTGGGACACTAGCTTCCCCCGGGGAAGGCACAACAGGCCCCCCCAAGCACATGCAGCCCCCCCCCGGGGGCTCCTGGGCCACCTTGGAACTCCCCCCTCCCGCTGCCCCAGGGGAATTCCTGCCTGCCAGCCACACCTGTCCCCGGGCATCGTGGCCTGTGAGGTGCTAGGAGGAGGGCACGGGGCGCCCGGAACACCATGGGGCAGGGCTCACTGACCATGTTGCTCTCCTCTGCTTCTGCAGTGGGACCCCCTGCCAGAGAGGGTCCTTCCAGCCCCATCCTGCCGGCACCAAGGATCCAGGGCCCGTTGCAGTGCTCCCGGGACTGCCACCACCTGCTCCGCCGCCACGTCTGCACGATTGAGTGCATGGAGCACGCTCTGACGGAGAAGAGCCGCGCAGATGCAGAGTGGCGGGGGGGGGGGGGGTGTGTGCACTATCCTGGGTATGATCACAGAGCAAATGGGCCCTGTGCAGCAGCCCAATGATGCCAGGCCCCCCTCTGCCACCCCCAGCTCTCCCCCCGCCTTGCCCATGCCCCCTCCTGAGGTCTCCCACCCTCGGCACCTCCTGGTGCAGCCTGCCCCAAAGGGGCACCGACACCCTCCCACCCATGGAGGAGGGAGAAGCCTCCCTTCCCACCCATGAGGCCTTCCCACTTCAGACCCCCCTCCTCCTTGCTCCCAGTTCAGACCCCCCCTCCTCCCTACAGTCCACCCCCTTCCCTTAAGAAAAGGCACTTTTATTTACAAACTCAGTGCATGCTATTTATTGGGAAGTGAGGGAAGAGTGGTGAGAAGGGGTGGTGATGGGAGTGGGAGGTGGACGCATGGAGAGAGTTCTGCGCTTGGAGGCATAGGCGCAGCCTACTGTGGGGCCTGGTCCAGCATCACCCGGAGGGCTTCCCGGACCTGCACCCCGTCGTGGTTCACCTGTCAGGTGGCAGCCATCTGGGGCTGCTGGTAGGCCTGGCCCTCACCAGCCATCCACCCCAGGAGGAAGGCCTGCCTTTTCCCCTCAATAATGTTATGCAGCACACAGCACACTGCGATGACCTCCGGGACATGATGCACCCCCATGTCCAGGTGGGTCAGGAGTCACCTGAAGTGTGCCTTCAGACTCTGGAAGGTGCACTCCACGGGGTTGTGGGCCCGGTCCAGGTGGGCATTGAAGGTGGCCTGGCTGTGGTCCAGTCAGCCCGTGTATGGCTGCATGAGCCAGGTCATCAAGGGGTAGGCCGCATCCACCACCATGCAGACCGGCATCCTGAAGTCCTGCTGGGGGAAAGAGGTGCCCACCTCCAGCCTGTGACACAGCCCTGCATGCCGGAAGATTCA